CACAATTGAATGCATCTATGCGTTAGAACGAAATGTCTCGAACAAGTATAGCTTTCTGTTTCAGAAGCGTGCAAGGGGGTTTGGCCAGTTATTGTCAACATTCGGAACTTTGACCATTGTAACATCTGAGATCAGGTAAGACTCAAAATTGAATGTGAACACATTTGAAGAGCGAGCTTGTAGCACTGGAACAGTTAGAAATCTTAGTTGATGCTCCTCAAGGAGCCCTAAAAAATGCGATAACTTGCAAGAGATTAACAACATCCACATTCCCAGAATGTGGAGCCGGGTCGCTTCAAACCACTTCCCAAAATGCTCCAGCTTAGTCTGAAAGCAATTTAGGGTCAGGCCTAAGTTGGGAGTGGATCCCTGTATTGTGAACTGCCCTCGTGACACCGATCATCTCTAAAACGCGTCCAAGCACAAAACTTCACTACCACTCTAGAAAATGATTTTGATCGAAAAAGAAAACAACATAATCTTCTCAAAATTGAAACATTGTTTTCCAAAATCCAACAGCATCTTGAAATGCATAGGCATAATCTCACCAATACCATGGTTTTTACAGCTAGTAAGATGAAACTATTAATACTCCAAGGATCATTTAAAAAATCTAAGTTTGCTGAAGTGGATAAATAACGAAGCTGAGATTCTGGTTTTCGATGCCGCTTTCAATTGCACCTTGGTGTCTGTTACATTGTAAATCAACTCGCAACCTCCCAATTTGTGCGTTTGCTCTAGTGGGAACAAGGAGTCTTTGAGAGAAACTCAAAAATCGTATTTTGAGGGAGCGTTGGCAGGTTGACCACACAAGAGGCTAGCAGCACTACCACTTCCTGAATCCCCAGACACTGCATCCACGGGGGCAAATAGCAACCGCTCCAAGATTAATTTCTTCCTTCTGACAACCTTCATCGTGTGGACGTTAGCGTCAGGGACACTTGGAATCTGCATGAAAAAAGGATCATTAACAGATGAAATTTTCAAAACACATAAATACAGGACCGTATCAAAGTTTGAATGCAGTCCATACCAACGAAGTCGACTATGAGCAGTGTAAATCTGAAAATATTTGTCGATTAGAAACTAATCGCCCATCACTTCTAGTGGTAAAATGCAAGATAGGTGTGAAGCTAGCTACTACATTCTACAGTAAGAAGCAGAAAAAATGAAATATACTTGAGTGTTTATAGAAGCCAGCTTGTGCACACGGAGGAAGCCCACGATTTCCTGATAATCCGTCAGCATTCCAGCCATCTCCTTATCCTCATCTGCATCAAGCAAGTCTTCACTGTTGGTATGAACATGACCAACTAAACCTCGCAGCTATCAACCAAACATACAGAGAATAGACACAGTATAAGCCCTCAATATCTCTGTTACTTAAAGTGAAAATACTTGTTCCCTAAACTGCAAATATTAGAACATTGCTCACCAAGGGCAGATTCCACAGACAGCAGAATATCTGCAAAATGTTGCCATCGAATAGCCATCGTCGGTCTCAACAAAGATGCAGGAAACGTGATAACTGCAACTGAATTACTGGTCCGAACGATTCCTTTAAGGGAATGCAAAAACGCTAATAACTCCCAATCCTGTACAATAGAAAACTCAACGGTGATTGAATGACTCAATTATAAGAAGTTTTTGGAGGGTGAAACTGAAGAGGAAACATAACAGAATGAGACATGAAGCAACCAAAATGTCACGACAGACGGATTAAGATTGCAGACCGTGCAAGACTGTACACACTGTGGAGCACAGAGAGATTGCAACGCCAAACGCCCCACTGTCTGCACCTCTCCAGCTGGCCTGCTCGGTACAGCACACAATCAAGCAACAATCAGGGATAAAAACACATATCAACTCCACGCTGCCAAGTCAGACTTGGCAGTACATAAGGCAACACTGCATCTCCAACCTGCAATAAACTCATTTGAAATGCTCAACTTAACAGACATCACAGATAAACTCTTCCGTGTAAGACTTGATTTTTCATTGACAAGAAATCAAACCTGGCCAGTTTTGCAGCGAACTCCTTGCACTGGTCGAGAAGGTCCCCAAGATGTGCACCCGAAGCCAGTGATTCGCACTTGGATCCAATCAACAGAGAACGCTCCAAAGGCTTCCGCATATCAAAATCATTGCAAAACTCGTAAGATCCAACTGCACCAAAAATAGAAAACCATGTTTAAGTTATCCTAGAATGTTGACCTCCCATAACAATGAAAATCTAAGTAAAGCACACTTCTTACAATAAAGTGTAAAATTGATGATTAAACAAACAAGCGTCAAGTGCGGGCGTTCCATCATGTTGGTGGCTTACCTGCGGAGGAATGACTAAAGGATGAGGAAGATGAGGCCCAAGAGGAAGCAGTAAGTTCTTGTTGCCGTAAGCGGCGCTCTTCCAAGGCTTTCTGCTCACTCAAATAGCGCCTATACTGCCATGCAATCCGCAACTCATCCTGCAAGGGCATTTTATGTAAAACTTTTGATAGACATGGTAGGCGTAAAACATAAGAAAAACTAGGTATATGATTTCAAGTCGGCCAGTCTACGAACTACGAACTGAACTTGTTTCCGATCCCTAAATGTGATGACCTTCAACTCCGAAAATATAGTAAATAGAAATGAAAGGAAGTATGAAAAGAACGTCCATAACTCCCACTCCACAATACGTCTCGAATATTTTTGGTATTGTAACGATGTCCTCTTAAGGGGAACTGAAAGAAAGAGCACAATACCTGTCCGCTGCTATCCTTCGGCCCCATCGGCCGGCTCTTGCTTTCTCTTGCACTGGCTATGGCTGGCAATGTCCCAAGAAAAGCTTGCGGAGATGGGAGAGGACTGGCAAAAAACAAAGGTTGAGAATGCACGAGGCCTTGAGCCATGAAGTAACGTAACAACAGCATGTGATGAGGCGCTTCATTGTCCTCCATGATCATAACTAAACTCCCGACTGGAATTCCACCACCTATAATCTGTGGGTACATGTTAAGGTAATCTCTGAAATAGAATTTGACAAGTATCTTCAATCATCACATAAATAAAAGCAAAAACAAGAGCACCAAGGCTCACTACGTGGAGGCCATCAGACAATTAGCTACAAAACTAAGGCATGTTTGACAGCACCTAATACCGCAGGCATTGAGGCTGATATGGGGACCACTCAATAACTTTAAAGTTGAAACGTAAGGGCAGCTAGAAATAGGATATGATCGAGGTCATCAAGCCCTGAGGACACGAGCGAAACGCCATGAGATCCAGGTTTGACGCCTTTGGCTTGTATGTAACCTCCTGCTCCGGATGAACCACTTCCTGCAGCACCCTTCCTCACGAAACTCCTCCCCGCTTTCATCTCCATTGACTATGTGATTGTTAGTATCAGACAACCTCGCTTACACCAAACACGTCTGGATCAAGCACGGTATCCGTCCAACCATTATCAGCCCTTGCAAAACTTGAATGCAACATACAGAGTAAAACTGAATCCCATGACATCACTTGTGGTTACATCCAATTACTTCCCAGTCCAGAATTATGCAAAACAAATAAATGAAAAAATAAAAACTTAAGATTCGCCAACTATCAGGCAAAATCATTAGAATCCTTAAACCCTAAACCCCTAAGACCACTGAGTATCAAAAATTAGGTTCTAAGACTAGATGACAAACTCAACCCCACCAATGTCCCCAACCCACGCAAACACACCATTAAGGACAAACATCTCACACAAGCAGTGTGCTCGAAGATTCAGTTCTCAAGGACTTAACTACATCAGTGTCACAATCTGCGATAACCTTCCAACAAACCTCCAGCGCTCACAACCAACCAATTCCTTCTTGTTACCTAAGAAACCCTATCAACCATCCAAAATCTTCCAAGCACCTCATTGATACAGAATTCGAACGGTCCATGGCGAGGGTCTTTGCGAGAGGTGAAGAAGCGCGGGTGACAACAATGCCATCGCCAAACCAGTTGCACGATTGATCAAGAAAAATTGTTTCCAGGAATCTAACCTCCGCAAGCGTCTCGAGCTACAATCAACGATCCAAGGCCAAAATGAGGCGAGCTCCCGCTCGATTCAAGCCGCCTGTTCCAGGAAACTGATGAGAATTTTGGTGCAGTAGCTCTCCGAAACCCGAGTCTCGACCCTGGTATCACGTCATGGACACGGAGCCAGATCGTCAATATGGAAATTGTAGCGGCATGAATTGGGGAGCGATGCGACGCGGGGCTGATTCCTAAGAGCCTTCTTCGCTGCACATACACACACACAAACACACTGTCGCATCTCGCCCTTGTCCCGCTTATGGATGAATAGTCTCATTCTGTGGTACTAGATGCTTTCCATCTATAGTTTTCATATATGACTCCTTTCCATACTTTCTGGATGATCATATCTATTCCACTTCATGATCAGGTTCCATGAGATTGCTTATCAAACTTTTGAATGATGACAGCATAAAAAATGCCTCCCTCATGTCTGCTCAGTGGAATACCTACAACCATATTAACACTTTGCAGAATGTGTATCTACAATATAAAACAGCTTTCTGATTTGTTGAACATGGAAATGAGGGAACATGGGTGAACAAGGGAATGGATGGATGGCAATGCCAAAGATTGTGGTGCCCAACATCATGGGTTTTTGCTTTTGTGTGTGTGTGTGTATATATACAGTGGTGTCTGGTTGGGAGAAAAATGCTTAGGAAAAAAAAATGGATAAGAACACTGTCTCACCTTTTTTTTGTGTTTGCCCAAGTTTTTCATGAATTAGTAAGAGAAAAGTTTAGTTAGGGTCAATGCTCAATTACTAGCAAGTACCAACACAACACATGATGCATCTCATTAATAGCAACTTTTTGCTCTTATATGCAAGTGCCACTGTCTCTGGTCTACATGGCAAAACTATGGATACTGACACCATTAGTTGGATATGCAATGTTCTAGGCTGCAAGTGTGTGCCATTCCAAAGTGTGGTGAATGGTGCCATGTTTGGATATGAGAAAAGCTTTTCCTTGTCCCAAAGGGTTTCTCTTATCCATACACCACTCTATATATATATATACATATATATTGAACTACCTAATTTACTAAATTAACCCACCCAAACATTTACTATGTTGATCTACCATCTTAACCACCATTGAAAAATTCTCTACTATCTAATCCACATTGGTCAAAAACCAATAAAAAAAAAAAATGGTTAGATCCTTAACCGATGATGATGGATGGGTTGATTTAGTAAATGCAGAGATCAATTTAAGAATTATATATATATATATATATATATATGATTTTGCTAATGCCATCACAATATGCCATCCACCACATGCCATCTAAATGAGCTTTGGAAGAATATTTATGTAGTGAAAAAATAAAGCTAAGAATACACTATTCACTATTAAATATTTTATTTATTAAATATTTATTAATTTTAAAAAGTTCTTATTGTCACATCCACTAGCAAATTAAAAGAAGATAAAATTAACATGATTTTTCATACCAAGTGAAAATTTTCTCACACCTCCATTCTATTACTTTCACAAATTTACTGAGTAAAAGCTGTAAACAATTTTTGATGCAAATGTTTAGACTGCACCATCGATAAAATAATATCAGTATGGTAAGATGCATTTTATTGATGCATTTACACCTATTCTTAAAAGTGTTGACTGAAACAGAATGGCTGAGACTAAAATTTAATGGTTAAAATAAAATCATGCTTAATTATTATTAATACTATTCAAATTTAACATTATTTTATACAACTTTTATTACTATAATATTTTTCCTGTCAAATGATATATGATAGATTTGAAATTGGACTTATTACATCCTTTTACATTACTCTTTAAAAGGCTGTAATGAGTCCGATTTCAAGTTTTGGATGATTTAAAAGAAATTACACTTCAAACAATTATATATTACAAAGTATTATTTAAAAGACAACAAGAGCAATACATTAAATTGTTGCAACTAATTTCTCAAGAACTTTAAAATATAATTTCTTAAGTTCCAACCCTAAGATTTTTTTCATGATAAATTGTATGTGAATAATACACACACACACACACACATATCTATATCTATATATATGCACAATATTAAAAATAAAATAAATTGCTAGAATATCATTTATGAAGTTTCATGTGATGTAGTTAATTTTTATAAGAAGAAAAGGTTGTGATGCATTTTTTTATATTATACCATCAAAACTTATTATTATACATATTCCTTGTCTTCAGTAGTTGTAGTATAATTCATTCAATGTTATATATATATATATATATATATATATATATATTACTTTGGCATATTTGATAGTAATTGTAAATATGAATATATATATATATATATATATATATACAGACAGATGTCTGTGAATAAATCCATTTTTAATATATGATTTATTGTTATTATCATTTTTTAGTTCTGTTTTTTGTATACCTGGGATGCATTGATTCATAATTGTTGTAAACTTGCATATGTTATATATGTTATAATTGTTGTAGTTTGTTCCATGTTTGTTGCTTTCTTCATATCATTTAAAATGTATTCTAAAACTAACCAACAATCTTATTTAATTGGTCAATAAATGAACAAATGAGTTAATATTGCTTCTAAGTCAAAAAGTAGGTTCCAAAAAAACCCCAAGCTTTAAATTTATGTGTAGTTCCATTTGCATTCTGTTGGTGAGAAATGATTTTTTAATCTATATTTTTTTAAAAGACGAATTCAAGTTGTACAATGTGGGGAAACTGCAGAAGGTGATAGAAACATGCATTGGTGTTTTGAGTACCATCTCAAATTTGGTAACGTTGAGAGAATAGAAAAAAGAAATCCTACGAACGATGAATGTATTAATTCATCAACGTATAATCCCATCCATCGACTTGGGAAGCCTCCTAAAGTTTCATCCACATTCATCCGAAGTACCAGCCTGTGGAGAAATGTAGGCGTGAGCAGTGAACGGTGGTCTTTTCATGGTCACCCACTTTATTTCCTCCATGAGCTTGCAGCAATTAATACAGCAAAAGAACTATTAATATTCTACATTTTTAATACGTAATTATTCATGGATGAATACCGGTGCAGAAAATGGATGAATGTTACAAATAACTGAATATACTGGAACATATGCACCGGCTGAAATAATGGGGAACCTATCCTCCAACCTGTCGACGATCATTGACGAATATTGTTCGACGATCTCGAACGAAAGCTGACGAAGCTGAACGAAGTAGCTCGAGAAGGAACGAAAAAAGGATGGTCGGAAGGGCGGAGGCTGAGGGCGCATCTCCTCCGCCGACCTGATTGATACCTTCGGTGATTTCGCAACATGTTACTCGCGGATCCGATCGCGAAGGAAGCTCGAGGTATTGACAGTGCTGAAATTGCGACGGCCGTGAGGATTTAGCTGTCTTTACTAGTAATTTGGATGGTTGTTACTTGGAGGAAGCGAGCGAGCTCTGTACGTCGAATGAAAAAGCATAGCTATGGAGGAGGGAGACCTAGTCGCCATTGCGGACTTCTATTCGATTGCATTCGGATTGAGGAGGACGGTTAATTAGTTCGACGAGCGGCAGATCTGAAGTTGTCGCCAGGTAACAAACCAAATGGGAGCGTAGAGCCAAAGCGCGGAGCTTATTGAGGCCTTGGCTTTGCTTCGCTTCGAAACATATTAGTTGATTGATAGTTTGGCAGCGGGGCGAGGTTGGTGCGGGAGTTTGTGATTTTAGCGAAGCGCGTTCAAGGTTTGTTAAGGTGGCCATAGATCACGACGCGGCTTAAGGTTGCACTGCCGAGGAGGTATTGTGGAGAGTGAGTATTTGTAGTGGTGGCGAAGCAAGGTTTGGTGGGTTTTTTAGGGGTAGAAGTGGAATTGATCATTGCACATGCAGCAACCTGTTCTTTGAGGTGATTTTTGGAGTGGAATCAATTTTGAAGCGTGGCATTTCTATGCTTCCAACCGCATGTTAGGCTTTTGTCATCAAGTTATTGATCCTGAAGGCTCCCTTTAAATTCCGCATCCCATGCGTCTACCTGAATGTATTGTTGTGGACTTACGTAATCCCTCAGGAAAAGGATTCTGGTGAATTTTCTATGGAGATTTCGTTTAAAGTCATCCTAATTCAAGAGACTTTTCATGGAGGCTTCAATTCCAGTGCAATTCTGTGAAGATTCATGCCATTAACAGGAGTCCATTAGCAGGACTTAGACGGCGAGGCTGTTGCTCCAATCTGGGCGTTTTGAAGTAACCTTGTGACGAGGTTCAGGCGTATTTATGGTGCATCGGTATTGATCTTATTTAGTTCCCGACGTCCTTCAGACTTGGAAAACACACACACACACACACATGCTCTGTTACTTTGCATATTTCTACCTTAGGGGTAGGTGTCAAAAGTTTCAGCAACAGAGCAACAGAAAGCTCAACTAAGCAACAATGGTGGCTGTGCAAGAATAGTATCCTTTGAAGTTTTATATTGAGTTATGCACGAATATGGGCTTTCATAATGTCAAAGCCTCTTCAGAATGAAATCCATCGTGACTAAACAAGTTTAATCTCCTTTCCCAGATACTAGGATTATAGTAGTAGCTGTGATGATTCTTTATGAAGTTGCTCATTCCTTGACCTTCTTTTTCAGCCGTATTGTGCTTCCCTTCACAGTGGAAGAGGTATGTGTCATACTTTCGAATTCTTGTAGCTCACCTTTATCTATTAGCACAAACTTTACATTTTGCATCACATTGATTTTTTCTGTGTCTTATTGTGATGCTGAGTTTAGGAGAAAAATCAAGATGCGGTCACCTACTTTCATTCCCAACCCACGATTCACATTTGTTTTGTTTTGTTTTGTTTTTTGTTTTTGTTTTTCAGTATAAAATCGCTCAGCTGTATATGGTAGCTAAGTTCAGTGCTAGTGAATCATCCGGAGGCGATGGAGACGGTGTTGAAGTGCTGAAAAACGAGCCTTATGAAGATAAGGATACTCGTGGCCAGTATACGAAAAAAATATATCATTTAGCCAAGTTAGTAGCCTTAACCCTTTTCAAGACTCTTCTTTTCTGTATATCCACGGGTAATACAGTGCTTCTGTTTCTCGTTCTGAAGGTAACGAGGTTTTAGAGATTCAAAAGAGGATCAATATGTAAGATGTCAATGTGCATGCGATTGGTGTTGTTGTACCCGAAGACTTTGTATTGCACATTTCAAGGGACTTAATTTTATTCTAGCGATGATAACATAAACCTTCGGGGCTATTAACGATTGAGTGTTCTGTGCGAGTGCAGCAAATTGCCAAGTTGGCTTGTAAGTCTGGTGCCCAAAAAGGCTTTGATGCTTGAGGAAGAGGCTTGGAATGCTTACCCTAGATGCACTACTGGTTTGTTGCTGCGCCTCACCATAATGTGGTATTCAAGTCTAAATTTTATTTAGGAAAGACATGGTGCTCTCATTGTGTTTTGGATTTTGGATTTTTTAATTTTTTATTCTGTAAGGGAAAGGTTTCTTTCGTGTACTTGAATTCGTAATTTCTTACGAAATGGCTTTTTGATGTGGCGTGGTGGTACCGAATCTCCTTGTGAACACTAGTCTTGAAGGTTAGTGACTGAAGTTTTTCGTTGACTTTGTGAAGTCCAAAGTTTATCTTGAGTCAGGATTATAGATTCAACATCCTTTAGTGGATGTGCTTTTGGTTTGTTTGCATCAAATATTGAATTGTCTGGTAAGTGTGTGAATCTAAAATCGCTACCGGTTGTACTGAATGCTGGTGAGTCCGGGTCGTTGGGTTGCTGTCTGAATTGCAGTGCCCATATTTTAACAAGCTCCAACTGATATTGGAAACCACTCATATAGCCGATAGAGGCACAACTGATAACGTAAGTGAAGTTCTGGTTCTCTTTTTTGCTTTTTATGGCTTTTTCACCTTTACGTTTGTCGCAAGAAGAGAAAAGAAGTGGTTCAGAATATGGTACCTGAGTTCGTCGATTTAGGCAGATACCTGGATTGTTGCTGTTGTTTCCGTAGAGAAATAAACAATTGTTTAGGTTTTCGATTTTGGATTCTCATTGCACCCAGGCCTTCAAACTTTGAGTGATGACATACGTCGCAACGATATCAGCACGAGTTGAGGAATGCACTCATTCATTGCCCTTGAATGGTTCTCGATTTACTTTACCGTGTGGGATTTACAGGCTCTGGGCTTGGATCCTAAAATCGTCAAGAAGCGGCAAGTCGAGTTTATTGACATAGCCATGGATCCCGTGGAGAATTATGTTGAGTCTGAAGACCCAATGATGTTCAAGTCTCAAAAAACTGGAAGGGGCCCTCTTAAAGAAGGCTGGCAGGTAGGTTCATCTTCTACTGATAATTATATCATTCAGGATATTACACAGAGAGAAGATATTACGTAGTTCTTGCTATTTGGAAATGAAGAATATTTCGCAAAGTTTTACTGTTGTATTCTCAAAGCAAGTCTGAGGTTATGCATTCTGATCTTGTATCTACATTTGCAGAAAACATGTGAACCAGTCATGTGTGCATACAAATGTGTGACAGTGGATGTGCCCTACTGGGGGTTTGGTTCGCGGCTTGAAAAATTCATTTCTAAGGTATCTCGTCGTGCATTTTTTAGATGGCATTGATATCTTCCTCAATTTTCTTTTAAGAATTCCTTATTGTCACTTCAAACTGTGGCATCATGTGGTCTCGTTTTGTTTGCAAGTTAGGAGTAGGTCAGGTAATGTTAGTACTCTAGATGGCGGATTTCATAGCGCTTACTTCCTTTTGATTGTACAGTTATCATAGTTTTCACTTCATTAGCCTAATGGAGTGATTGGCTTACGTAAGATGCATAAGCTGAAAATGTTTTCATACCATGGTTCCTTTTATATCATTCGTAGCTTCTGGGTGCTTTTGTATAAATTCTCACATCTTTTGCCTATCAGAAGCGTTGTACCACTGTTCCTTCTGCAAGAGCTTAGGGTTCTCCAGTCACTGCTTCACCATGCTACATATTTGCACCATTAATAAGCTCATTGCACTTGTCACTGAAATGCTGTGGAGTTGTGTCACAGAATGCCCAAAGAAAAATTCTGCTGGAAGGTCATCGGAAATGTTTCTGCTGGCTTGACGAGTGGCATGGATTAACGATGGAAGATGTTCGCCGCATGGAAGATGAGACTACGGAGGCTCTAGCAAAAGTAAGGTTTTTGAGGAGTGTCAGTAAGTGAGTGTGTTTTGTGAAGCAATTGAAGGAATTTTTTGCTCAAGGGTATCGTATGTAATACCACATCCTGCTTGTTAGAATTCTCCTTGGGATTCATGTAATTGCTGTACAATTGATTGCTTCAACTGATTATATGACTGTGAATCAGGCCCGTGCTCTCGTTTTGAATAATATTGTGACCCAAGAGAACGGAGCCACAGAACCGGAAACCCATGTGGAAGCTGAGACCGAAACAGCAGTGGTAGACCATCTTTGTCCACATTTTCACTCAATCATTTATTATCTAAGAATAGCAGGACGTCGATGTTTTATGCAATGCCATGGACATTCATATTTGGTTACGACGCGAACTTGTTGCTGAAGCAGTTGTTTTGAGTGGATCTTGCTGAAAGTAGTCATTTTGCACTAGATCTTTGTTCTTTGGGGACTAACACCTCGTATTGTGGAAGCAGAAAACGGATGATCATGATAAGGTGGTGGCTTCTCGGGTTTCATCGATCTCAAGAACTAGAGATGGTACTGGGAGCCCTCGTCTCATGAGACGGCCAAGTCTAGTTGGCCCATCGGTTGCTGTGGGCTTCACAACTTTGTCAGCTTCTGATGTAAGTGATCTTAACTATCGTAATACTAGTGGCTGGCAAGCGTTGTCATGGCAGATTTTCTATTTCACCTGTTATTTAAACCCACTTTGCCTGTTGTTGTATTAAGCTTCGTTACGTGCTGTCTAGCGAAAATACTGATGAAATAATATGAGGTGGTTTTTGTTGCTGTTTATCTAGGTTGGGGAGGGAGATGATTTTCATGCACCTAACACTGTACCCCCACTGCCGTCTCCAACATGGAAAACAACCTCAATTCGAAACTCTAGTCCTGCTACTTTCGAGAAAGTTACACTTGATCATGGTGGTGGGTCATCCGAGTCTTTCTCCTCGTTGAGAGATGATTCTAACTGGGAGTCAACTTCCAGTGGACAAGACGAGGATAATGAGGTGGCAGCCTGTGTCGCTGTGCTGGACCGAGCTATAGCATGGGCAAAGGCTAGATCTGCAAAGCTGGCTACGCATCCATCGCGGCCAGCCAAGGGTTCGGTTGCTCCGATTGGCTCTCCTGTCGCTGGTGTTCCTGAAGGCCAAGGAACTATGATAAATTTGGAGAAACTAACGGATGCTGTGACAATCATTGACAAAACTATGTCTGCAGTCAAGCGACGTCCAAACATATAGCCAAAGTTGAGCCGAAGTTGACAGCCTCGTTGCCACCATTATAATTGCATTATTGATTTGCAACGAAGATTGCAGGGTTTTCGATACCAAGTTCGGATATTATTGTTTGGAGAGGGCGGATTGAGGGTCTTCCAAATGCTGGCAGTGTTGAAAACGGAAGAAAGGGCGTGTTATGCATTCTGTGAAGACACCCATCCCTCCCATTGTAAGTTCATCGAAGTGGACAAATGTCCTTCAACTGCTTAATGTTATCCATTTAGTCACATTCTTGTATGTAGCAAGGTTATTTCGGGGTTCCAACTCAATTTTATTGTTATGTGGCTTCTCTCTCATGTCAAGCAGTCCTTGATGACTTAAGATTAGCGTCAATGTACTAGTTAGTTGAAGAAATTTGTGCCACCCGAGTATCTTTAAGTATGGGCCCTGCGTGTATGTGGTCATCGATGAAGCACATTGAGGTGCTGTTGTAGCTCTTAATAGTTCACAACTTCTCTAAGTTTACAAATTCTGTTGAATGATACATTTTTTTTTTTGACAGAGCTTTGTGAACTTTCGACAAAAGTTCATTTATTTAAGGAGTAGGCGAATTAACGCAATGTTTCCTAACTGTATTTATTGCCTGTTGTATTGTTTCCTCATTAGAATGGAATGTTTCCAATGTAAACATACTACTTTGGATCAGGAGAATGTAATACTTTTCACTAATTAAATGTACATTTGTATTTAAACCCTTTACTTGCACTATTAATGGAGATCTCTCGTAAAAAGTGTGTCAAACAATGAATATAATATTTTCATACATTCTTGTGGTTAGAATTAACGATCATGAAATGAATATTTCAAGACTTTGTACATCAGTTGCAGATGTAATATATATTCTTGTTCCAGTTTTACATATTACTAGGGTGGATTTAATATGTGGTATATAACTTGGTTGTAAAATTAACTGATTCCATACATTTAATATAATTTTTTGTTTGTATTCAACATAACTTATGAATAATTCCACCTAGTAAAATTAGTGTAGATATTGATGTTTTAAACAATCATACTTGATCCAAAATAAGTAAATGAATAATATGTATAATGTAGTATATCAATTCCTAGTTTTTGTTTTATAAAACAAATTTTGACAAAAGATTGCAATGCATATGGAATTGTTATGCCACAAAAATAAAAATCATAGTTTGATTTAATTTTTAAAATCAGTATTTGTGATTTAAAAATAAACATTTTAAAAAACATTTGTTTTAACTCGGAGATTTTGTACCTTGGGTCACAAGATAGATGTTCTGAACATACTTTAATGTTTATATTGGATTTAGAAGAGAGATAGATAGAGAAGTATAAATAGGATGTTGTTTATTTGTTTAAATTGTGGAAGCAATGTTTTACGCAGCATTCCATTCATGAAAAAACAAAAGCAATTCAAATATTAATCCATGCTAAATTAAAGCCAAATCTGTATTTTATTTATTAATTTGTTTATACATGTATATTTGATATATATTTTTTTTATTTTGAAAAAAAAATATATGTATATATATATATATATCACTTACGAAGAAGTCTTTGAAAAAATCAATACTATACTTTTCCACTTTTTCAATGACAACTTTTGCTCCAGCACACACGAAGAAATCAAAAGGTGTCAAGAATTCGCACCCATGGAAACGTTCATCCACAGAAAATAGATGAATTCGTTCGTTCATTAACCCGACGAGAAGCTCACTTCCAAACTGATACACATCCATCGTATGTAACGACCAAAAAGGTAAAATACAAATTAGTACGAATATTTATACGTAAACATATACTGCCAAGAGAAGGAAGGTTCGACCGTATTCCGGAGGTGTATGCAACAAATTCTTCTGGGGGTGGGTGGGTAGGTGCGGAGTTCCCCATCCCACTCCGGAGGCTCGAGATCGGTGTGCGGAGCTGTGTTTTTGGCTATTCCCCTTCGATTTGGTGTCATCTCATCGAACCAGCCACGTGATATACCTTGCTTTCAACTCCATCACCTGGTTTGCTCTCCCGCAAAACCCGCCATTGCTTGCTTGCTTGCCACTTGCTGCTGCTGCTGCTTCTGCTCGGCTTGGACCCAGACCACGCAGCAGAAGAAGAAGAAGAAGAATAAGTAGCTCGGTGTGTGGTGTCAAAATCCTATCGCCTCTAACCTACGCGAATATGAAGAATGAGGAATAGCGGCTGCTGATTCTGAGGTTTCCTCTGCTTTCGAGCGTATCCTATACATCTTGGTCCTCATTTTTTGGGACTAGGGTTTGGGCGTGCCATCTTCCGCTCGGTATCGGAGACAAAGGTCGCTGGAGATTCTCGAGTGAGCGTGTATGAGACCGTGAAAGACTGCGACGGACGTGGGCTTTCGGAGGTGTGTGAAGCTCTGGCGGTGTCGCCGGGATAGTGTGGGGTTTTTCGTGGAGGGGCGTGGGACTAAACAGGGGTTTGGAAGTTTCATCCTCAGGGTTTTGGCTGTTTTGAAGCTGGCAGGGTTCGGATATGAGTGCGAAACGTAGTTTAGGTCATTACGTACGCGGGTTGGATCGGTGGTTGTAAGGGGTTTTGGAGGTGGAGGGTGAACCTTATCCGAGGATGTTGCTGGTGATGGACTAGGGTAGAACCTTGGAAAACTTCCGGTTAGAATCATGGGAGTGCTGTGAGTTCGATCGTGGTGGGTTGAATTAAAAGACAGGAAACGACGACTACAGAACAAGAGTTCGTGAAAGAGAGGCATCGGTGGGTGGTTCTTGAAAGCTTAGCCAGGGTGTTGCACTGGTTTTGGTAGCCAGGACCCTGAATTGGGAGTGGTACTGCTGCAATAGATGGCCTTCCAGGGCACAAAACTTAGGGTTTCTAAACGACGCTAGCAGAAGTTGTGGAAAACGGAGTGTGGTGATCACACAGATTTGCACCATCTTTTTGATACAAATCACAGTGACAAAAATAGTAAGCAATTGAAGTTGCACAAGGTCAACGCGTTTGATGAAATTTAGAAAACGCACGCACGCTACAAATCTCACCTCAGTTATGAGCTTAGCAGATACACGTGCATCTTGTACTTCCGGTTCAGCCTTTCCTTCCAAAAAGTCCTGATTTAGACTATTGTAGCTGTCCAGTATCCGGATGCTACAAACAGTACCGCGATTAGAGTCACTTGGAATCTGGGCTACATGCACTAGAAAGGCTCGAGATGCTCTTTTCTCTTCTGTACGTCTGATAAAGGCAGCATAACATCATTTGCGAACAATCGTGAAAAACCTGCCGGACTTGTTGAGTTCTGAACCTACAACTTCCACGGGGCACAATATACAGGACTGTGGAGTTGACCTCTGCCTTTATTTCCTCTGGCGGTTTGAGTGGAGCTCAAGGTGTAATTTGGAAGACGACTGTGAAGAACCTTATGTACATTGAAAGATCCGGCGATTGCATCACTTTTGGCCGCGTTGCATTACATCCCGGAAGAACCATCGCCATGGAGTGTTGGAATTCGCAATAGTGTGATGCTGAAGTGATTTTAAATGGATGCTATGGTTTCTTAGGCATCAAGAGGGACGTTGGTTGGCAATGAACGTTGGAGTTTGTTGGAAGGCTATCAGGGATTGTGGTGCTGATGTAGCCAACACCCGCATTATTTTGGATGTGTGAGGGGGAGGGGGAGAGGGAGAGGGGGTGAGAGCGAGAGAGAGCAGAAAGAGGGAAGGGGCTGGCAAATGGATTCTTTCAGGGTAATGCCTGTGTATTATGACTAACCTCGATGGCGTCCTAGTCTGAGGGAGAGGATTTGCGGTGTTGTGTTTCGTGAAGAAAGTAGGACGAGATTGGTGGTCGGCAGAAAGTGACGGTTGGGCTCCTGCCGGCAGACCTATCATGGTCTGTGGCGGGGATGGAGAGAAGTGAGCCATCCTTGGTCCCGCAATGGCTCAAAGGAGCCGGCAGTGGCGGGGCTGGCGGGGCAAGCCACTATTCGCAGGCGTCGTCTAATCATCAAGGTGGTTTTGAACTTCCGTATCGGTTTGTTCTGTTTTGTGGAATTGGTGGGCTGTGACGTGTTGCGCATGAAGGTATCGGGGCGAGGGGCATTTTGTGCATCTCGGTTGCATGTGGGCCTTTATAATGTGAATGCATTTCGTTGCATGGTGCGACATGATGAGATGTGCTTTGGTGGAGCAAGGGGGTGGTGAGGTCTTGACAGTTCTGGTTGGTATCAGGAAACGAGTAAAAGTACGAGTAGAAGAGGTTTTGGGACAGAGATTAGTGAAGCTGAGGATTGGGTAAAATACTCTGTTTGTATTGGTAGTGCAAAGAAGGGTGGGGTGGCTATGTGTTTTAACATGGGCACACTATTGGTTTGGGTGCCAACTTCCTGTGAAGAAGTAATCCTGGTTGGCGGTCCGGTCCCTGGGGTTCGTGCACATGGGGCTTGAGCACCACAGGCGACCGCAGTCTGAATAGCTAGTGAGTGTAGAAGCTGTACAGAGGCGATGGCTAAGAGTGGATGCGGTTGCTGCAGTCCGCGGAGAGGCCCACGGGCTGTCTTCGGTCGAGTTGGGTGAGTGTGAGCATCCTTGGCATTTATTGGTACTGGTTGACCCTGACCTAGAAGTGGGTGTGGTTTTTCAGATGAGAGCGGGGGAGGCTTTGCGTTGCGGCCCCGCGTTGCGTCGCCTGGGTTAACAAGTGGGGGCAGGGATGCGGAGTACGACGCGCCACGCTTCCCACCCTCTTCGTCCTCCGATCGGGCGTATTATTCAGCAATTAGACGGGGACCGGGGGGAGGAAGCAGTGGCATCAGCGACCGGTCAATACAAGAGAGGGAGAGTTTTTCACGTGGGTACACCAATTTTGGTCGCAGCAGTACGTATCGCAGTTACGATGCAGGTTTGGATCGGAGTGACAGGGACACGGTTAGGGAACGGGACTGGGATTGGGACCGAGACAGGGAGCGGGACGGGCGGGATAGGAGCAGGGTTTTGGGAGGGTTGGGAGGATCTGAGGAGAGGGAAAGAGAGCGGAGCGAGCAGCCTGAGAGTTTGTCCGCATTTCGGAGGCCCGGATTAGGTCAATTGCCAGGGGGTCGGTATGAGGCCGATTTAAGTGCACCACTTCGACGAGTGCAGTCGATGGGGTCGGCAGCTCGAGCGCTTGAGAACGGGGAGAAGAAAGCTGCGGAGGCGGGGAGCCTTCGGACAGCTCCCCCTTCGAATAGCAGTGGGTTGACGAGCAGCATGCAGAAAGCAGCATTTGAGCGTAACTTTCCTTCTCTTGGTGCTCAAGAGAGGGGCGGTGGCGTGAGCGGCATACAGTCGAACCTGGGGAACTTGGTGATTTCGAGTCCACGGCCACTATGGCAAGGTTCGTCCACACCGAGGATGGATGGAACAAGGTCGGCAGCATCCTCACCCGGTCTGCCTAATGGTGGCAGCCCTGGTAGCGGACTGGCATCTACGACCGCGGGAGGCAGCAATGGCGAAGGGTGGAGCTCTGCATTAGCCGAGGCTCCTACTGCTGTGAATGGCACGCTGGCCGGTCCTTTGAGCTCTCCTGGCACTGTGATCACTTCGCCGACGTCGGCTCTAGCGAGCATGTCAGTGTCTGGGAACCTTATGAATGCCCCGAAGATGGCAGAGGCGCTGGTCCAGATCCCTCCTCGCGTGCGCACCCCTCCACAGGTACGATATGGGCGGCGTGGCGCCGGCGTTGTTGGTTTTGTTGTGATGTGCGTGGTGTCCAATACGTAGTGTTGCTGCACAAGCATTGTGTGCAGCAGTTGAGAGGGAGCCCTGAGATGGTGAGGATGAGTCTTTTGGATGAATCGAGATGTTGCACATTTGATGCTGTTGTTGACGCTTTGTGAGATCTCTGGGCTTTTGTTTCTGGTGTGGAACAGCGAAGCGAAGAAGGTTGGACTCTTTTTGGGCTAGGTTTTGGTGCACAGAGGGTGGGTGTTTCCTGATAGAAGTCGGTAGAACAAACGATGGATTTCAATTGGTAAGTGACTTATTGATGGTGATGTAATGGTTGCAGTATTTGGTTGAGAAGGAGCGATTGGAGGAGCGTGCATTGCAGCAATCTCGGCAGTTGATTCCAATGGTTCCAAAGACTCTGGTGCGTACGTCAGTCGCAACGTTTACAAGGTTATGGCATGTGAATGTGTGGATCGCGATTGCGCAGGCAGAGGGTTGTTAGGTTTGAAGCCGTAGCATTTTACGTGAAGGAGAGATTCTTCCCACACTGTGTTGATATGGTGAGTGGGTGTGTTTTTACAGGGTCCTTCCCCTCGAGACAAGAAGGTGGAGCGGGCAGTGCATGTGATAGCTCCTCCGAACGCCTTGAAGGCAAGGCAGGGGATGGGTAGCTCCCAGCAGGTTTTGAGCTCGCCGTACCGGCCACCGGCATCTCGTCCCGAGGCTCCGAAGTTGGGGCAAGGAACAGGGAAGATTTTGACGAGAAAGGTGCCTGTGAAGGAGGCGGTTCTGGTGGTATCCCCTTCTCCAGTTACCACAGGCCTGAAAACTGAAGCTTCAGCAGTGGTGGCGACGGGTTTGGGAGCCCCTGGGTTGGGTGGAGGAAGCTCTGCAAGTGCAGTCGGGGTTTTGAACAGCGGTCCTCGTAAGCAAAAGCAACTTCTGGATCGGCGTGCCGTTCCGATTCCACCAGTTACAGCTGGTGCGAGTTCAGACGGGAGCAGCGGGGGTATACGGTCGAAAGATGGAAGTTTGTCTGGAGGTGATGAACGTCGGCCGTGTGTGCCAACTCAAAATCGTGTGGACTTTTTCAACGCTCTTCGAAAGAAAGCGGGTTTGGGTGGTACATCGAATGTTGTAGATAAATTGGACGTTGCAGCACCGAAAAGCGATGATTTGTTAAACGGTGTAGAGGTGGGGAATGGGTTGTCGGAGGAGAGCGTGCATCCGTTGGGGGACGCTGGTGAGCATTCTGTGGGAGAGTCGTACCCGTCGGAGAACGGGGAGCGACAAGAGATTGATAGCAGCGGGGATGGCGAAGGAGGTGGCTCCGACTCTGAGGTTTTTGGCACGGTGGGTAAAGAGAACGGCGGGATGATGGAGGGCACGACAGATGACACCGGTGAGGAGCAGGTGTTTGAGGAGGGTGATGGATCTCTGCAGCAGCAGTTGGCATCAGGGGATGGGCCCTCTGAGGCCGAAGAGATGTCGTTTTTGATTTCACTTGGATGGAGTCAAGCCGATGCGGAAGAAACAGATGCTTTGACGCAAGATGAGATCGATGCCTTCATTCAGAAGGTACAAACATGCTCCCCACTTCTCAAGCGTAGGTCGTTGGCTCGCTACGCTCGACGCACTTGATGGTTCTGGTGATGAGTATGCTTCTGACGTCGTTATGATGGTGTGGATCCAGCGCAACGAATTGACATCTTTACCAGGCGCCGAACAGCGCTGCAGTAACAACCACCACAACCACAACCACAGCCGCAGGCGAATGGATCTCAAGAGGCGAATGGATGTCCAGGTGGGCAGCATTGGAAGCGAGACATCTTGTGTGACGACTTCCGACAGTGAGTCTGATTGATGATTGGGTGGGGGGTAGACGTTTGAGGTGATGAGGATGAGGGCGGAAGTGTGGGCGTGATGCGACAGCCACCTCCGATGTGAGAGGTGAAGTAGATAGAGACGGGCGACGAAGAGAATGTGACGGAGGCGGTGGTAGGGTGGAAGGCTGGTGGAAGTGATGTGTTTCACAGCAGTCTTGTAGGGGTGGTGGGAATGGGATGGGGCGAAGCTCAATGAAGGAGCCTCAGAGAGGCATAAGAGACTTGCAGCGGTCAATTCTTGTAGAGGAAACAGAATGTATGCACTTGTCGAGCAGTTTCTCAGTGTAATGGGTACACAGCATTAGTAGCGAATGCTGGGGAACATCGGAACTCCAGGTTTTGACCACAGATTCCAATTGGCGTGGCTGTGAGCAGATTGGCCACTGACGTCGTGTGTGTATTGAGGAACGTTTTTGGTTTGTTTCTCCTCCCTATTTTCTTTCCTGGTTAACATAAGGGTACCCCTCCCCTCCTTCCCTGGGCGTGCGTTAAGCGGCTTGGGACCTCTCTGGACACTTACCGGTGTTGGTCGATTTGTGATATGCGGTGTTGTGTGAGGTTCATTGTTATATTGATGGAGGCTTTTCCGAAGCGGTGTTGATGCTTTCCCTAGTAGTATCGTGGGCTATGGTGTGAGATTTGTCTTTTTTTGGAATCCATGTTTGTCTGTGTTGCTAATTTTTCAATGAGTATAGGTTGTTGTGCTTTGACCTGTGCGGTTATATGGCGATCATGTCTTTTTAGAGAGTTAATACAGTTTGAAATGCATGTTTAGGGTTGTCTGTAAATTTGTCTTCTTAATCTTTTAAACTTGGATAGTTTTGCATGTTCTAATTTTTTCTGAGAAGTGTTCAGGTCTTGAATTGCTTGATACTATTTACGAAGGATATTTAGATAAGGTCTAATTGTTAACGAGGTTATGTTTTTGCATTGTTGGATTTTAAAAGGACGTGATTTTGATCGCTGTCTATGTATTGATAGAGTATTGGCGATTTGATTATTCCTTGTATTGGAAGTACTCCCTATTCCACAACACTGAAGGAAGATTGTACAACACGTCAATTTTACTAAGTGCAATGTTTCATTGATTGAGAAACGCTAAATTCAACTTGAAGTATGCGATGGTATTTTAATTTGCAACTTTTAACATGGTTTCATCAGAATTAATTTCAGACTTAATAAGATATTTATTACAAGTATTGATAATGCATTTTATAAAATATTTATGGAACAAAACAATGTTTGTACCATATATATTTTAATGTTTTTATTGAAAAAATTCTATACAAGTACACTCTAATCTTCATGTCACCTAAAAATTGCTAAATGTTTTTCATTTGACTTTGTATTCTTTAAATTTAATGAATATAATAGGCTTTATTGTATTACATTCGAAAAAAATAAACCATTCAATAAAAAGCAACATTTGTTAATGCTCTTATGCAAATCAACATTATGAAATCAAAACACTTAGTGTGACATTACAATATACATAAAACTTTTAAAACTTGTTTATTTTATAAACTTGTGTATTTCAAATTGCTAACAACATACATAAAATGTAAGTGTATGCTAATTTGATGTTATCTTGTACTTTAAGAAAAGTATATTAAGAAATCTTATATTTTAAAAATACAAACATATTTGCATAATAAATATAGAAACATAAGAATAGATAATATATATATATATATATATATATACATATGGTATTATTAAAAAAATTTAATCAAAATAAAAAACTAAAGAAATATGTTAAGTGGGTGACAAGTTGTGGTGGTAGTAGCAAAAATTGTGGTGATATTAGCAATGTCTTATAAATGTATATAATATTTTAATAAAAAGCACATGACATAATTTTTTTTAATATAATATTATACTATAAAATAACTAACAATTATAAAGACTTACTTATTTTATGTATTTATTTATTTTTCTATTGTTTGACTTTATAAAACAAATAAATATAAAAAGATGAAATTTGAAATAATTTAAATTTGTTTTTTAGATAACATGTTATAGTTTAATATACAATTTTATTTTGTATGACTTAGAATTTTAATTTATATATATATATATATATATATATATAAATTTTTTAATATATTAATAATTAGATTGACTTTAGGTTTTTATTTTAGAAGTTATGACATATTTAAATTTATAATCTTGATTATGCCTAATTTAGGTTGTATGTAGTCCTAATAAGTAGTACCTGAAATGATATTTAAGGTATGTCAACTCCAATATTTAATTAAAGACCCACTTTTTTGTATGAAAATCCTTATACATGTCCCTCAAGTTTGTGATTTTTTTTAAACTTCCACAATCTTGATGGACTTACAACTTGTTTAAGAGCCACACTATCTCTAGAGTACATGACATGGACTCTTGCAAATATACTAGATTCCATGCAATGAAAACATCTATTGGCTTTAGTAGTATAATCAACAAATTTAGTGATTTCCTTCTTTATGAGTACAAATAAGCTAAAGTGTTCAATGATTCAATATTCTTCAATGTTCACATTTACAATGTCTAAATTAAGTTGAGTCTACCTTTTACTTTGTAGGAAATCAATACATAATAAGAAGTCTTTTATTTATTTTTAATATATGGTACAATTGAGATGAAAAATTATTCTTTAGGAAATAAGAATACAAAAATTATTAAAAGACTTTTATTTTCTTATTTAGAGGAAGTAGAGTTGTAAAGAAAAAGTAGTCATGGTAATATCTACTTTTGCAATAAGCCACATGTCCAAATATCTACTATTAATGAATCCATTTGATCATGATGATATCAACCTAATCAATAATTCAACTTTGTAGAGACAAGTAATCTCTTCAGTTCTTGTAGTTACAAGGTAGACATGTTATTGACAAAGAAGACTTGGTGGAAGAAAGAAAGAAAATATCAAGGATATTTTTATATGTGCTTTACTAGAAGGGTTGCATGTGAAGATACCAAATGATCATTGGCAATGTAGAATGATAAAGCATGTAAGTTGGATATGACTCAAAATAAAGAACATGTGAATGATGTGCTCTTATGGACTTGCACCCATATAACATAAGAAAACTATTATGTGCAATAAAGGTCCTATTGTAAATACTCTTTTAGATTTGTTATGTTTTTAATGAAAAATTATTTAATCAACCTAACTTTTAGTAAATTGATCCTCTTTCTATATTCTACATATTCTTCTCAATTGTGAAGATTTTATTTCTTTTATAATTGGTAGAATTTATGCTATGGCAATTAAATCTACAAATATCATTATAAAAATGTAAAATATAAGAGGTAGATAAATTTATTAAAAAAATAGATTTATTTAATTTTTTTTGATATTTTTTCTTAATTTTTAATATTCATATAAAATTCTAAATTTATTAGCTTCTTTTTTTATTTTTTTAGATAGTGAATGGTCTTATTTTGGTTTTTTATAAGGTTTTAAGAGAATAATCATCAAAGATGTTTCTATTTATGTATTGTAAGTATGCATTAAATATACTTTATACAATATAATTTAATATATGAGGTATAATATTTTAAAATTATTTTATATTATTTTTATATTATATTGATGGATATGCATATTATAAAAAGAATAAGAAAAAAGTATAAAAGTAAAATATATAAACATAGATATTATATTATCAAGGACAAAAACTCAAAAAAAATAGATAAATAAGTGAGAATCTCTCAAAGAAATATGACAAAATAGAAATAGAAAAGTATGTATATTAAAAAAGAAATTGGAATGGCTATTGTCAAAAGATAAGGAAACTAGAGACTCTTGAAACTAAACTAGAAACAAGAAAGGAGTTGACAAGAGTGAAGAAGGCTTCACTCTTACCTTTATATATACTATCTACCCAAGATCTATGTGGCAACATTTATAGGACCTCCAAAAATATATTGCCTTTGCATGGCACGTATCTTAACTTGCAAGGGAAGTTTTTTATATGGACATCAAATAGTTAGCTTGTTCCGTAAGCTATCAATACATGTGGTACATGGTTAGTTTGTTGACTAAGTTTCTAACCTGCTAATCAATTATAGATACATATAAAATCAAAACAACATCTAAGAAGCTTTTAGGAAGCTTTTCTAGAAGGTATTATGAAATTAATCTACTTCTACTTGCTTCTATCCATTCATATTACCTAAATAACAATTACAGTAGATATATATCCATGACATTATCTCTTCTTTTAGGGATGAGTTCCACAAGGAGTGGTGATGACATGTTGAGAAAGTGTAAGATGCGATGAATTGCATTTGCCATGTACTTTGATCTTTGTTTCTTTTGAAGGTAGTTGATAGGTCCTCCCAGCCATCGGTAATGTTTTATTCAAGGGTAGAAAGACGACCCTGTGATTTAATCATTGTTGAAACCTTTATAACTTCTTTCAAACAAAACATTTGAAACACCATCAAGAGTCATGCTTACCTCGAATTAAATCACCAAACATTGAGAGTTTCTTCTTAAGTTGTGATATCAAATGCGTTGTATCTTACCATCTATTTAAAGAAAAATATATCATTCTTGAAGGTCTTCATCTCTTTTACGTCATCTTGAAGGATGTAACAATCACAATGTCTTATCCGGTAAGTCAACAAATGATGGCTCTTGAGTTGAATCTACTAGCCGTTGATTCAAATGTGATCGTAAACACTTCTAAAAATGAATTCAAATCATGAAAGAGCGATAAATTCTTTTCCATCAAAGATAATAAATTAAGCCTCAAAATTAAAAAAAAAAACCAAGTTTATATGTAAAATTGTTCCTTTAGAGATAGTCACATCAATTCATAAGTCCTAAGTATCAAAGATCACCAAAAATGTTATAAAAATATAATAAAACCTTGTATATCTTTAAAATGATTTTTTTTTGAACTTCAAGAGCTCATATCTCACCATTGGATTATTTATACAAATCAAAATTTTACCTGAAGTATTGATGTACTTTTAAAAACTACCACAACAAATTTTAATTACAACTTCATTACAGATCTTGAGATATTGTCAAAATCCTAATATTAGCTTCAAATCCTTGCTTATATACATTAGTGTGCAAATTTCTTCATATCTCACAAATTAAGTACTTAAATACCATAAATTTTTAATATATAGCTTTTTAATCCAATAACACGTAGTTTTAGAAATTGTGAGCAAAAATTTCATCGAAAAATTCAAGATATGGCTCCAACCATTACTATCAACAAAATGACTCACTTACTACCTTTGAATTATATGTTCTATCTTCAATGCTCTATAACTTCTTTATACTAAGTCCAAATTTAAAAATTCTTTCACAAAAGATGTAGATCTTAAAATCACACTTATAATTATATCTTTTTATTTTTAAAATCTATCATAAAATGCCTTATATTTTCAAAAGAAAATTAACATATTTAAAAAAATTATCTTAATTTCAAATGGATATAACTTCATCATTCTTTCTCTAAATCTTCTAAAATTATACAAAAATTGTAGTCCAAATCCTAAA